TTATTTATGTTCAGGATTATGGTTTGCGATAATATAATAAATGTTATTGATAAATGTATTATATTTATGATAGTACATGGGTGCACTAACTAAAAAAAGGAGGAAAAATATATTTAATGGGATTTAATCCATATACCTCTTGGACAATAACTCAACATTCAACCAAATGGACCATTCAATCTTCTTGGAGCATAGGTGCCAACAGTTAATATTATACCAATTTTAGAAAATATGTATATAATAATTTTATGGATAGACCATGGGTTCACGTGCCCCATAATCAAGCCTATAAATCCGCCCTTGTATAAGTCGTGTTTCATGTTTTTTCAAAAAAAAAAAAAAAAGGTGAACTGTGTTTTAAAAATTTATGTCCTAACACATTTTCATCTTCAAACCAAACTTCACCCAAATCAAAATTTTCAAAATAAATTTAGGAATCTATGGTCAAACGCTAACTTAGTTTAAACAAGCATTTTGGAAAGTAATCTTCCCGTCGCCTACAGATAGTATTTCATTATTGCAAATACTCAAACAACTATTTGGCCATCAGATTTTGTAGACTGAAGTGAATACTAAAGAAAATTGATTGGAAAGTTTTCCAAAAAATAAAAATAAATTAATGTTAAAAAAACTGCAATATTTTTTCAAATGAAATACATGTCCAAACAAATTTTAAATTTCAAATATCATTTTTCAATTTAACTAAAAAATACTAAAAAAAATTTCAAAAATCACAATTTTTATGTCCTAACGCCTACTTAAGTAACATATGACTTTCCCCCTAAATCTTCAACTACTTTTTCGAAGTTTCACCAAAGCCAAAAGCATTTTTTTTGCTTTTTTTTTTCAAAGTTAGAGGGTTTGGCCAAGCTTTTAGAAGAAAAAATTAGTGCTTTTGAGTAGAAGCAGAAACAGTTTTGGAGAAGTGTCACGACCCGAATTTTTCACCATCGGAAGTCGTGATGGCGCCTACTAATGTGAGCTAGACAAGCCGACTGTTTGAGCAAATTACCCTTTTACCAATTTATATTCTTTAACAATTATAAAGTAGTAACGTGTAGACAGCGGAAATCACAAGAAACGGAAGAAATGCAATAAACTATCTGAAATATATATTTAATACAACTGTTTGAGCCTCGACCACCCAAAACTGGTGTCACAGTTTCACAGACGATCTAAGAATACTACATACAAAGTCTAAAAGATAAAAGGTACACTATTTCTGAACTAAGTAAATGAAACATGAGTAAAGGGATAGAGGGAGACGCCAGGGCCTGCGGGCGCCTGCAGGACTACCTTGGATCTCTGCGTAGACTGAAGGCAGCCACCCAATCTACGGTCCAAAAGTTGCTGCTCCGGGATCTGCACACAGTGCAGAGTGTAGTATCAGCACAACTGACCCCATATGCTGGTAAGTGCCTAGCCTAACCTCGGCGAAGTAGTGACGAGGCTAGGACCAAACTACCAAATAAACCTGTGTAATTTAACTATATACAACAGAAAAGAAGAACAATAATATACAGTCAAGTATGGGAGGGGTAACATGCTGCGGGGGAACTATCAATTTAGAATAGAAAGACAATAGGTAATTGAAAGAAACAACATATCTCAAACATCAACAAAGAATCAGAAGTCATAAGTGCACGGCATCACCCTTCGTGCTTTTACTCTCGTCCTCACCAAAGCAATCAAGTAATAAAAATGTGCACGGCATCACCTTTCGTGCTTTACACTCTTTCCTCACAAATCATACACGACATCACCCTTCGTGCGTTAACACTCTCTCACCAAAACAATACACGGCATCACCCTTCGTGCTTTAACACTCTTCCTCACCCAAACAACAACCACAAATAATAGGGATAGGAAACAAATGAAATTACAATAAGAATCTCAGTAAGGGAACAATAGTTCAACAATTAAGTCCCGACAAGGGAACAACATAAAAAGAAACATCAATATCCCGGCAAGAGAGATAACATCAAAAGCAACAATATCCCGGCAAGGGAGATAATATAATGATTCTCTTCTCTTTTTCACTTTTACTTCACAACTCACTTCAAAACTTGAGCCAATGCTCTAAAAGGTTCAATTACTGCTTATACTTTCATATTTCATTATACAACTTGAGCCAACGCTCCTCAAAGTTCAAATGTCATAATTACTTCCACAAACTTTGCCCAACAATAAAAATCATCACCAAAGCATGAATAATACAACGAAGTCATAATAATCACAATATAAGACTCACGTGCATGCTTGACACCAACGTATAGATACTCGTCACCATGCCTATACGTCGTACTCGATAAATAACACATAGCAAATAGGACTCGACTCCTAATCCCTCAAGCTAAAGTTAGACCAAACACTTACCTCGATGCCACGAACACAATTCAAGTCTTTACTATCGCTTTACCTCTTGATTCTACCACCAATTCGCTCGTATCTAGCCACAAGTTATTTAATTACATCAATAAATGCTAAATGAATCAATTCTAATGCATGAAAATGAGTTTTCTAAAGTATTACCCAAAAAGTCAAAAATCACCCCCGGGCCCACATGGTCAAAACCCGAGGTTCGAACCAAAATCCGACTACCCATTCCCCCACGAACTCAAATATATAATTTGTTTTGAAATCGGACCCCAAATCGAGGTCCAAACCCCCAATTTTTGAAAAACCTAGGTTCTACCATAAACACCCAATTTCCCTCATGAAAATCATTGATTTTGAGTTGAAATCATGTGAAAAGATGTTAATGATTGAAGAAAATGAGTTAAAATTAACTTACAATCGATTTGGAAGAAGAGTTGCCTTTGAAAAATCGCCGAAGAGTGTTTTGGTTTTGAAAGAGTGTGAAAAATGGTTGAAATGCATCTAAGTTATGAATATACAGGTCTCTGATGTTGCAATTCCGATCGGGGTTCGCAATTGCGAACCCTTCAGAATTATGAGATTCCACATTTGCAAAAAAAAAATATCGCATTTGTGATCACCCCTTATTTCTGAGGGGTTCGCATTTGCGAAGCAGACGTCGCATTTGCGACGGGGCCTTCCGCATTTGTGAGCCAAATGGTCGCATTTGCGATCAGGCCTGCCCAGGACTTTGTTCGCATTTGCAATGGAATTCTCGCATTTGCGAGCCAGGCTTCGCAAATGCGAAGCTTGCAGGCCTGCAATGCAATAGCTGAAATCTGCAATTTCTCAAGTCCAAAATCCACCCCGTGGCCTATCCAAAACTCACCCGAGCCCTCGGGGTTCCAAACCAAACATGCACACCAACCTAAAAACATCATACGTACTCGCTCGTGCATTCAAATCACTAAAATAACATCAACAACTATGAATTTAGCATCAAAATTATGAAATTACTTAAGAACATGAAATTTTCTAATTTTCTCAAATAAGGTCCGATTCACGTCGTTTCAAATCCGTTTCTTACCAAATTTGACAGACTTATCTTAAATTACATATACGACTTGTATCGGGCACAAGAACCAAAATACGGGCCCGATACCATCAAGTTTTAAACACATTCATTTCCAAAACTCATAAATAATTCCAAAAATAATTTTCTTTAAAAAATTTATTTCTCGGGCTTGGGACCTCGGAATTCGATTCCGGGCATATGCCCAAGTCCCATATTTTTCGGGTCCGAATCCGTTTACCCAAAATATTGATCGAAGTCAACTTAAATTCATTTTAATGTCGAAATTCATCATTTTTCATAGATTTTCACATAATGGCTTTCCGGCTACGCGTTCCGACTATGCACGCAAATTAAGGTGATACCGAAAGAGATTTAAGGCCTCGGAATGCAGAATTTACTTTTAAAACAAGTGATGATTACATCCTCCACCTTTAAAATAATCGTTCGTCCTCGAACGGACAGAAGAAGGAAGTACCTGGGTCGGGGAAAAGATGGGGATAACGGCTCCGTATATTGGACTCAGACTCCCAGGTCGATGCCTTAGCAGGCTGATCTCTCCACGGAACACGAACAGAAGGAAAACTCTTAGATCTCAAGTGACAAACCTGCCGGTCTAGAATAGCTACCGGCTCCTCCCATAAGACAAGTGTTGACACCCAATTTTGACCCTCATTTCTTCCAAATTATTTCTTTAAACTTCTAATATCACTAATAATATAAGGTAGTTGTTCTACTATTTATTTTAATACAAACCATGCCTATTTGCTATTATTATTAAAACTCTTACTATACTTATTATTATTATTATTATTATTATTATTATTATTATTATTCACTTTTTCATTCATTTTTATCGTCCTTTTGAGAAAAAGCATATCATTTTCCTTTTTTTAGTTAAATAGTAATATTCCTTAATCCAACGTTTTATAAATATTTGTTCCAAGAGCATTATAATTTTATACTTATCAATTAGTGTAATGGAAATTTTATATGTTAATAATATATAGTATTTTTTAATATGATTATTAAAATATTTTATTAAAGTTAGAAGCCCAAAGAAAATGTAGGAAAAATGAAAGGCCAAATTTCAGTCACTCTGAATAGCCCAAGAACAAGCCCAAGTCGGCAGCCCAAAATCTTCTACTACCCCAACAGTAGAACACTCTAGAATCCCTTCTCTCTACCAAACAACCGCTTATTTTCTCCCTTTTTCTTTTCTTCACAAAACTTCAGTGTTGCTCAGCCATGGCAAGCTTGCCATTTTGAAGCAAGAAGCCCTGCCCTCCATTTAATTTCTCTGCAGTACCAACGTTCAATTTTCAAATGGTTTAGTATCCTTGACTCAATTTCAAAATCACGGCCCAAATCAAGAACCCTAGATTTTCACCTATAAAAACCAGCACTTGGAGTCCATCTAGACATGTTTTTGGAGTCGCCCCCTTTACCCTAAAAAATTGATGATTGTTAGCCGCCCTTTCACTCAAAAAACCAGAAGCTGGAGCTGCCTACTTTCACCCCACATTTGAGAGGCTTTTTTTGGCTGCCTCTCCTCCCTAAAGCACTTATGCCCTATTGTTTTTTCTCTTTCCCAAAAACTGATCTTCTTCGAGTTCTTTCTTTGTCTCTGTTTGGCTTCGACAATAGTAGATAAATTCTTTCGTTGCTTTCTAGTAGAACTTAAGGTCGCGCGGCGGACCCAAGATCCTCGCCCTCAGTTCACTGCTCTAAAGCAGGTCAATACTTTCTCCTTTTCACTATTCTAGATGATAAAATGTGACTAACTAGTAGGCTATATTTTATTTCTTATGATGGCGAGACAATATAGTGTGGTATTTGGCTTATTGTGTTTTGTTTGATTATTGAATAAATGTTTCCATGTGTGAAAGTTTCATTAGAAACATAACAAGAATAGATATCATGCTCGTAGGATCGAATACTCCCTTTGACTTAAGTCACATATTTGAATTTTGTCCAGTATGTTATGTTCTAGATATATTAAGAGGAAAAGATCTTTTTTTTATTTTAATTTTTGAAATCACGCCTTAGAAATCATGTTTCAGGCTTCTCAAAAATTGGAAGGACGGTTAAGTAAGAATGAGAGGTTTGAAGTTATAAGTCAGATATACATGTATTAAGTTAGTTCTTGACTGCTTAGAATCATGTTCATAGGATATTCCATAGACAGTCTATTAGCTCTTGCATATTTTAAGATTAATAACTGTTTTCTTTCTTGAATGTTGTATAAAAGAAGTTTATTCTACTGAAATGTTGACATACATGTATTAAGTTTATTCTATAGATCCTGTTAATAGGTTTAGATATTCTAGTCATTCTAAATGATCTGGAAAGCATATCTCTGACCATTCATCTGAGCCCTATTGAATAACCGTCAACACTTTGGACTATTATTTACACAAGGAGCAAAATTTATTTAATTTAGAGCACAACAGTAACTAGTTTCTGCTAGCAAAGGCTAGGCGTTTTATATTCATGGGTACAACGAAGTGTGAAGGGAGAGACTTGCTAAGGAAGAGACTTGTTGAATTCGTTTGCTACAAAGTTCCTGCCTGATAAAGTTAGAACATTGTGTTCTTTTGAAAACCAACAATTAAAATCAAAGTTGAGTATAAGTTTATGTTTCTTATGGCATAAACTTAAGATTTCTTTATATAAAAAGTACTAATTCTAAGAGGCTTCAAGTTCTGTCTAAATATCATATAATATTTGAATGTGCTTTTGTATCAGAAGGCATACTTTTATCTTTTCTTACTATCATTAGACTAAAATATGCATTTCAGTTTATGTAGTAAATTTTGTTGCCACTAATTGATGAAACCTTAAATAAAGAAATAGTGCTTAACTTAAGAATCCATTTGCACTTCGTTTGTTTTGGTTTTCGTTTGTCTTTATTTTTTTTATGCACGCTGTAGAATCAAATTCCACTTCTAATTCTTGTTTTGTTTCTCTTTGTTTTTTTGTGCATATGTGCTTAGAGCAAAATATGGAATATTAATGCAAGACTCTCCATTCCCGAGCATGTAGTCATCATGTCTCAACTTCTAAAGTCACCAGATAGCAAGAAAAACAAGCGGAACGCTTGGGGACGCCTATGACGTCTTTACTCTTCTTTTCTTTCTGTCATTCATGATTATTTTGTGTCATTTATTTATTTGTCTCAGTTTGGGGACTGTATAATCATACCCATATCTGAGACTAAAAAGGATATTATTTGACATTCAAAATTTTTTACTCTAATGGTTAGCAAAGTACTTATAGAGCAGAGCATCAATGTTATGGACTCCTAAAAAATCAGTAACACTCCCTATCTTAGTAGTTTTTTATTTTATTTTAAATTTAATAAACTAAAGTTGTTATCAAACTAGAATTTTTGAGTCCAAATGACTTTAGTTAAGAATTTATTTTATCAGAAAGTCGTCTATTGAAATAAGGTAAACTTCAACTATTTTGAGTTTCAACCAAGGTTTATAAATATTTTCAAAGAAAAGGTTTTTCATCAAATCATTTCAAAGGCATTATGCCCTATTTTATTATTTTTGGCTCAAATGAAACTCTTTGAACTTATCTTAGTGTTTTCAAACTTTAAATCAAATTGCAAAATTTTACTAATGGAAAGCATCTACTAATCTAGTTGTACTCATGTAGTAATTAGGCAAACCTATATTTACTTATTTTTGAATGAGCACTTATTTTAATTTTTTAGTACTTTTTTTAATTAACCTAAGTTTGGCTGGTTAACTATTTTTAACGGATCTTAAAAAGTGCCTTACCCCTTCCTTTTGAGATAATTAGAACCATTACTTAGATCTTAAGGTTAAGTAGACCATAAAATAGAATTAACTTTAAGCATTACTTAGTTAAAATTGATGTCCTAATTCACCGTTAAAATAATTAGGTGGCGACTCTCTTAATTAATTAAACCTTCAGAATTACCAATATGTTATACTCTAGTTTGACCCGTGTTAAAATGGAGTATAACAACAAGTCCTTATCCAACTGGACAGTGCTGAAATCTAACACGTGGGATGGATCGCCGTGATATTTCCGAAGCATACACACATGAAACACTAGATGCACGGCTAATAAGCTCGGCGGCAACGTAAGTCTGTAAGCCACCTCTCCCACTCGATCAAGAATCTCAAACGGGCCAATGAACCTAGGGCTAAGCTTGCCCTTCTTCCCAAATTTCATCACGCCCTTCATAGGCGACACCAAAAGCAATACCCGCTCACCAAAAATACTTGTAGAAAGGCGCTTTTGAGAAAAAACACTCCTCAAAATAAGATAATTTTTGAAGCTTGGCCAAACTGGCTATAAATATCACAATAAAATTCAGCATAAGCAAGGGGTGAGAGATTAAACGTTTTCCATGGGAAGAGATGACTGAAACCTTACAAGGGATTTCACTTAGTAAATTCATTACTTTGATATGACGTCTGTTGGTATCTTTTATTCAGAGATATCATAGTAGTAAAAAAGGTAGTCAAGTCCGCTACCTAACTTAGATAAAGTACCCCTTATAGTACCACGATATTTGGATAGGATATAAAGCTTATTTTATTTCTAAATAGTAGATTTATAACACTATTCTACCTCCTCAAAGACAAAACACTCGTGGCATACACTTGGTCTTTTAGCTCGCGGTGCTTACACCTCTCGTTTATCGGAACACCAACCCAATCTTGAAAGTTGACGTGGGTTTGGGGAATGAAAAAAGAAGAACATCTTCTTTAATACTAGAAATGGAAATATAGGACCCTTCTTCACTCATGCTTGTCATCTACTTGTGAATACCGTCCAGTCACAACGGCTTTTCAATCGTTGTGCACTAGCTTGTAGTTTAGGGGTATAGTAGGGGTTCCCCTCTCTCAAACTTTTTTATAATATAAGCTAAGCTTTTTGGAACTCTAGTTTTGGAATTTTTCCCAACCAACCATCGAAGGTTGGAGAAAGAGATAGAAAGTTGACTAGAGTATGAGGCAGGGGGGTTATGTAAATCTATTCCAATCGAGGTGATAGCTCGACTTGGCTTGCATACCTTATTTGAGATTACTAAGGCAGGCAACAGACTCTGTCATTAGTTAAGGGAAGAAGGATAAAAGAAAGTTCACTCGATAAATTACTATGATGTGTTGTAAGCTTATGCCGGTCAAAATAGAATACCAGGTCGGAACTTTCTTTCTTGCGATTTTCGATATTACAATGGCAAGTCGAGATTGCAATCCCTATCGAGTGGGGAAGGAATGAGTAATGGGTCGGGGAATCAAGCATCGACCCTCTTGGATCCTATAGGAGCAGAAGTAGGTAAGTTAGTATCGATCTAGTAGTATGTAGTCCTGAATAAGTATGTTTCGATGGTTATTCCATAAGTGGTCTTTCAGGCCCTGCGTTCAAAGGTTGGGTTCTCTGTGGGGGGTCGATCCTTATTTCATAGTAGGGCAAAAGTTGGATTTTCAGTTGTAGTTTTTAATTTGGGGTGCTAATAGTCTTATAGTTGCTTCATAGTCCTTCCTTTTACGTATTACAATTCAGGTGCTTTTTATGTTGCCATTTGCAAAAAACATACTTAATGAACAAATAAGGGATAGGCAAACATTTACTTATTTTAGACAGCCTGGACCATCGATTTTATCTTTAACAGAGGAACAACTACCTAAGGCTTAAAATGACATAGAATAAGTGGAATCTCATGCAAAATTGTGAGGAGGTGGTTAACCGAGTTCTCTCAAAACCGGGAGAACTCTCACTTAAGTACAACATCAACTAAATATTATCCACAGGCACAATTAATGTTACAATAATATTCATCATAAGTAAGGGATGAGATATTAAGCCTTTTGCATGGGAAGAGGCCTTACAAGGTATTCCACTTAATAGATTCATTACTTCGATATGACTACTGCGTGTACCTTCTATTTAGAGATATTATAGGATTAAAAAAGTTAGTCAAGTCCTCTACCTAACTTCGATAAAGTACCCCTTATCGCACCACGATATTTGGATAGGATATAGTTTATTTTATTTCTAAAATAGTAGATTTATAATAACACTCTACCTCCTCAAAGACAAATCACTCGATACATACACTTGGTCTTTTACTTTACATAGATTTCAACCCACTTGAAAGAAGGAAAGACTACAAAAAGTAAGTACGAATTTGAGGTTCTCAACATTACTTGGAATTCAAGATATATTTCACCATCAATTTGTATGCACTTCTTATTCAAGCGAGAACTCTTAATCGGTTATGTTTACCCTTAAAACGGATAACAATTAAATTTGTATGTAATTTTAAGGATATGTGGATAGATTCAACATAAATAATCAAGCTATTAGATAAACGAATTAATGGCAGAATGAATAATCAAATCAATCATAATGTTAAGGCCCAACTTGAACTTAGGTTGAACATTAGTTTTCTCTTGATTGGACCTTTGGTTCCAAGCCAATAGTAAATGAAGAATAAACAGTAAAGTAATAGCTTTTCTATAGCTAGAGAACAGAAAATATAAAATTATGTTGTCTTGATTTATGTGTTACAATGTGTGTTATCAAATAAAAACTTTTCCTTTATATAGTAGAGAGTTTAATCTCTAGTACAAGTCTAAAAAAGGTAAAAATCTCCCCTTTCTCATTAATTAATGATCCGTAACCGGCATCGAGCGAGATTCGCACCGTGATATCCAGTTATGTACGGATATCACGACCCTACGTTAGTCGTGCATAACTATTTGCTATATTTCTGAGGTTCAAGAGCTCATTTCGGATCCGAGGAGCATCACTTTATCACGGCCGACAATGATCCCATTATTCATCTTTCATGGGTCTCGATTTCATCCTCGTATGTTTGTGCCCTTCTTACATCTTCTTCACCGGTAAATCGAGTAGGCATTACCCCCAATTTTATCCGTATATAGATAGTCCCCTCATTTTTCAGAGAGCTGGTTCGCCGGGTTGATGGAAAATGAATAAGTGAGCCCCGATTTCTTCCCTCACACGTTGTAGCTGAGATGTTGGGTATGTTGAAAATGTCCCATCAGTCATGTCGTTCTGACTTCGGACACGTGTCGGTCATCGGCTGGCTATCTTTTAATGTGAAACATCACGCATTGATTGCATTCTACTCTTTAAAAGCTTCAACCCACTTCACATCCTCTACTTTCCGATCCTAGCTTTTACCTTCGAACTTTCTAACGGCTTTTAACTTTTTCAAATCTTCATACATTGCTTTTCGAACCTTCATATCTTCATCTAACCTTCACATATTTTCTTGGATTTCCAACCTAGAACTTCATATCTTCATTTCTAACCTTCATACGCCTTCTTCAATTCTTCATATATTTCCCAGATTCACGATGGCTAAAACTTCCAAGTCTGTACCACAACAAGCGGCCCCCTCGTCGAGGTGACCATCCCCGAGGTGGCTCCCGAGTCTCCTATGAAGAGCTTTATACTCGGGGGTTGCTCTACCAAGGATGATTTCAAAGTCGAGAAGGCCTCCGTCAAACAAGATCGAGGCGATAGAGTATGGAGATACATATGCTTCGTTACTGAAGATACCCTTCCTATAGTCCGAGAGGATTGTAATTGGGAAGGTAAAGACGTAGTCGTCCCTAGGTCCAATAACGAAATTACTGTCCACATGGAGGGGTATTTAAGTGTTTAAACTTACCCCTTTATGCTGGGCCCGATAGATCCAGTAATCCTAGCTTTTTGTAAGAGGTACAAGGTGTGTCTTGGGCAAATCCACCCCTCCCTCTAGAGGATCGTGATCCTCTTACGCCACTATGAACAACACCGAATCTCCTTGGTTCACCCTCGATCACCTACTATGTATGTACAATCCCTAAATTTTTAGGGGGGACTAATTCGCCGAGCGAGAAAGGCTCTTTTCTTGGTCATCGACGAGGATTGAGATCGAGGCTAGCAAGGGCATTTTATTCGGGTAAAAATTGAAGACCTGATCCCTCCCGAGTTCTTGCCGTTTCCCGAGAAGTGGAATTCATATCATAAGTGTAGTCTTTCCTTAAGTGTCAGTTTCCCTTTGTTTCTTCTCTCATTGCCAGTATTTATGGTCGTGCAACTTTTTCCCTAGTTCCTAATGCAATACCCGACTCAAGGAGTGAATCGAAGGGATCTACAAGCAGATGCCATACTCTGAGCGCACGTGGCGCAAACTTTCGATGGGCAAATGAGAGGCCCGTTCTCATGGTAAGGCTTTCCCCTGAATAGTTATTATTACGTCCCAAACTTGCATAATGCTAACTTTTTCTCTTCTTTTATAGGTCTGACCAAGACCA